CATCTCCTGCGACTCTCCGCAGGTCTCGTCCAGCCTCATCTTCGAGGAAGGCCAGGTGTCGTCTGACATTCCCGGGCTGGCCCACGCACGTCAACACGTCAGCACTTGCTCGCTCGCAAAGACACCGCGGCTCGACTCACCCTCCTGCACGGTCTTCTGGGCATCCCGCTCGGCCTGCAATCGGTCCGTACATGCACGTACACCATCCCAGACAGCATCAAGACCATCTCTAATACGTCTTCGCAGAGTGCAAGGATGTCACGATCACGTCGCAAGGCGACGTCAGCGACCTGTCGCGCTGCTCGACGATCAAGGGCGACGTGACGATCGACAAGTCCGTCGGCGGCGAGCTGAACATCCAGGGCGTGAAGAAGATCGAGGGCTCGCTGATCGCGCAGGGCGCGACGAACCTGACCTCCTTCACCGCCAACGACCTCAAGGAGATCGGCGACGCTTTCGAGCTCACCTCGCTCACCCAGATGACCAACCTGGAGATGTCCGCGCTCGAGAAGGTCGGCTCCATCGACTTCGAGGCCCTGCCCGCCCTGCAGACCCTGGGCTTCACCAAGGGCGTCAAGTCCGCCGGCAAGCTGCTCATCACCAACACCGGCCTGACCAGCCTGAGCGGCATCTCGCTCGAGACCGTCGGCTCCATCGACGTCAACAACAACAACAAGCTCGCCGAGATCAACGTCAACGAGATCAAGAACATCACCGGCCTCGCCTCCTTCTCCGCCAACAACAAGCGCCTCGAGATCATCTTCCCCAACCTCCGCTCCGCCCAGAACATGACCTTCCGCAACCTCTCGCGCGTCGAGCTCCCCTCGCTCAAGAAGACGGACGGCCTGCTCGGCTTCTACTCCAACAGCTTCTCCTCGCTCTCCGCCCCCAACCTCACCTCCACCGGCGACCTCGTCTTCACCAGCAACCCGCAGCTGACCAACATGTCGCTGCCCAAGCTGACCAAGGTCGACGGCGTCTACCAGGTCGCTAACAACACCAAGCTGCACTCCATCACCGGTGTCAACTCGCTTGAGACCGTCAACGCCATCGACTTTGCCGGCAACTTCACCAAGTATGGACTTCTCCCCCCATCGTTGTCAATTCTCACACCCATCGTTGTGACTTCTCACCCCCATCGTTGTAATGATTGTCATTCTAACGGTAACTTTTCAGAGTCGACCTCCCCAAGCTCAAGTCCGTGGCGGGCGACTTCAACCTGCAGGCCACCAACAACGTCGGCTGCGACAAGATCAAGAAGGAGATCAACGACGACGTCGCCGGCACCGTCACCTGCAAGGAGCACATCTCCGACCCCAAGACCTCCTCCGGCAACAAGGGCGCCTCCAAGACCTCGTCTGCCTCTGCCGCCGACGCCACCGATGCCGACAGCGGCGCCGCCTCCACCAACGCCGCCAGCTTCGGCCTCGTCGCCGCCCTCGTCGCCGCCATGGTGTTGTAAGCAGCTGTGAAGTTTGGAGTGACACATCTCGGTCCCCTCCGCCTGTCCTGTCAATCCCTTCCCTTTGCCGTGTCTGCTCGTGTAAGACTCCCCTACACATCCCCGTGTCTCTGATGTGATCCTGTGATCCTCTCTCCTGTCCTGTCTTCTTCTGTCCTCGCCTGTCCCTCTCAGTTGCCGTTCCTCATGCTCCGCCCTCACGTTCATGTCGCTGTCGACGTCGCCTTCCCGCGCGCCCGCACAGCCGATGACATCTCCAACACACTACACGCCGGCCCGTCGCGCAGTGCTAATGTCACCAGCCCTTTCTTTCCTGTGCATGCCCCCCTCTCCCTTCCCCTCTCCCTACTAACACCACTACTAGTACACGTCGCTGTATCGAAGTGTGTTTGAGATCAGAAATATACATTATCTGAGGCGGATGACAGACTGAAGCAGCACTGCTCTAGTGCATCATGCCATCCAAGTAGGGGTGTTCTGATTCTGCTCAATCGCTGCTTGCTGCCCTGATGTAGATGAGGGGGGATCAATTGGCGAAGCACAGGACGAGTAAGAGTAGGAGTGGTTGATGGGTCGGGGGCAAAAAAAAGAAAAGGAATGATCGGGTCTTGCCGCGGATCGAACGCGGGGCCTCTCGCAAACTTTGAAACTCAGGGTTGAACCCTAAGCGAGAATCATACCACTAGACCACAAGACCGATGTGACGGTTTTGCAGACCAGGCATATATGGCGGATGAGATCAGCTGTCGCCCGCATCGTGTAACTCAGGCTTCACCAGCTGAGCCCGATGCTCTTTTCGAAGAGTAAGCCAGCAATTGGGGACGGGGGAAACGGCGTGGCCCTCGTGTATAGGCTTCGCAATGCCCCTATCACCCGGCTTGTCCATGGCTGCGACGCCGTGCAACGCGTCAAGCAGGATGCACAGCAGCAGCTGCTGTGCATGGGTGTACAATACACTTGGGCACCACCACCGCAGGTGCTTTCGCGATTGAGGCCCTCCTCAGCCGTGGCATTGCTGGTCGGGTTGCAGTCGACTCGCACTGGCTGTCGTGGTGTACTTTGATGATGCCAGAGCACCATCGGCTGATGGGTTGCGCCGTCGCGGTCGCCTGTTTCCAGTTGGTAGCCGGCGATAGCCCAGCCGTAGTCTCAGTGCCGCAGTGCTAGAGTGCCAGTGCCGGCATCGTGGTGTAGATCGTGTGAGAGAGTGTGGCTCTCGCGCATCGGATCTTGGTACTGGGAATGGTCGCCGGCGGTGCGAGTGGTGTCCGCCGCATCCTGCCTGGTCCAGGTCAAGGACACGCACGGTAAGTAGTACTAGTACTAGTACTAGTACTGCAGAGAGGACTGGATCAGAGGATTGTCGGCGGTGGCCGCGACCAGCAGAGCAGCGCGGACGGCGCAGCTCGGGTGAAGCGACTGGCAGGGCGAGCTGACTGCAGCACATGCCGTCCCGCCTCATATACATACACTCGCAGGCACGACGACCATTCGCGACCAGAGCCTGCTAGTCTCGGCACTGCCGGACCGATTGGACAGGGACTCATGATGTTTCTTGCTACAACCAGCAGCTTGAGTTCCTGCAGATGGGTGCGCGAGGCGAAGCGTCCTGCGTGTGGGTCGTGCGACCCATGCACTGTACTTCTGTAACAAAAAGCTGTCGTGAGGTAGCCGATGCCGGATCAAAAGTTGACGGCGATCGACTGAAGT